GAGCCTGTGAGCAGGGGGAGGCCGTGCGGAGGCTGAGCCTGTGAGCAGGGGGAGGCTGTGCGGAGGCGGAGCCTGTGAGCAGGGGGAGGCCGTGCAGAGGCCGAGCCTGTGAGCAGGGGGTGCCCGTGCAGAGGCCAGGCCTGTGAGCGGGGCGGGGGCTGTGCAGAGGCCAGGCCTGTGAGCAGGCGGGGGGCTGTGCGGAGGCCAGGCCTGTGAGCAGGGGGAGGCCGTGTGGAGGCTCTTTCCTTCTGTGTAGCCTTAAGGATACCACTCACTTTCATATTTCTAGAAAATCACTAGGCAGATTCACTTCTCTCTGCTGCCTCACCCGTAACCAAAGCAGGGGGAGGGGGAAGAAGTTAAACCAAATGACATTTTAGGTATGTGGTCAGAAGAGCAAGAACTTTTGGTTGAAACCTATGATAAAATTTTGTTAGGTGCTGTTGAGTCGATTTCAACTCATAGCAACCCCATGAGACAGAGCAGAACCTCCCCACAGGTTGTCTAGCCTGTAATCTTTACGGGAGCAGACAGCCAGGTCTTTCACCTGCAGAGCCACTGGGTTAGCAGCTGAGTGCCCAACCACTACACCACCAGGGCTCCCCGACGATAAAATAAGATGCCTGAATTTCTTTCCTTTCTCCCCTCCTGATGCTGGTGTTACTGCTGTCATCTTTCTTTTCTATGTTACAAACGCAAAATATGTTGTTGTTATTTTTTCATAATGATGGAAGAGTCAATTAATCCAAAGGCTATGACAATCTTAAACATTTATACACCCGATAATAGAGCCTTAAAATATATACAGAAAAAACTAACAGAACTGCAAAGAGAAATAGACAAACGCACAGTTATAGTCAGAGATTTCAACGCCCCTTTCTAAATAATTAACTGAACAAGTAGCGACGTCAATAAAGACCGAAGACTTGAACATCCTCATCACCTGGACGCACCTGACATTCACCCAGCGCTGCCGTCAACAACCGCAGGAGATGAATTCTTTCCAAGTGCACATGGGACGTTTACCAAGACAGACCACATTCTGGGCCTTAGAACGAGTGTTGATAAATGCAAAAGGATCCAAGTGTGTTCTCCAACCACAGTGAAATTAAATTAGTAATAAATAACATGTCTGGAAAACCCCCAAGTATTCAGAAACTAAAAACACCTCTAAATAACCTAAGGGTCAAAGAAGAACTCGAAAGGGAAACTACAGAGTATTTTGAACTGAATGAAAATGAAAACATAATCCATCAAATCAGTGCAGTGAATTAGTTCACATGGCCCTTCTAGCCACGCGTGTTCTCGGGACTCTCAAACAATGATTGGGTGGGACTATGCAAATAAGGTGTATGGAACCTTGACAAGGGGATTGGTCAGTTTTGCCATCCCACGAGGCTTAAGAAGAAAGACAATCCCAGAGCAGGGGGGAGCCTCACTACCATCAAGAAAGAAGAGCCAGGAGTGGAGTGGGTCTTCTGGACATGGTCCCCGCATTAAGAACCTCCTACACCCAGGAGATGGAGGGAACTGCAACACCAGAGAAGGCACGAGACAGTGACAAGTGGGAGATGGTGAGGGGCAGTGGCAAGCACAGCAGAGAAACGGCAGCAGCAGAATGAGAAGACTGGCATGGGACGGCGCAGTGGGCTTCCTGGCCCATGGAGCAAGGCGTCTACAGTGAGTGTACCAACCCACAGAGCAAAAGAGAGAGAGCTGAGTGCCTTCAGGCAGGAGACTTGCTGGCCAAGTGGGGTGCCTCTGGACACGTGGCAGAGCTAGGCTTGCTGACCCATGGAGTGATAAAGCTGAGTGCCTTCAGGCCACGGCTTACTAGCAGAGTAAGCTGCCTCCAGGCACTTACTGGCGGAGCTAAAGAGCTGTTAACACTTGCCTGAGCAGGGCTGAGGGAGAGGCCTGCCTGCGGGCATGGTGGAGAAGCTGTTCTGACCAAAGAACTGTATCCTGAGTGTTTCTGATCCTGAATTGCTACTTCCCTAGTAAACCCTGTAATTGTATGGTCTGTGAGTTCTTTGTGGCCATTGTAAAGAATTATCGAACCCAGCAGAGAAGCAGAGAGGGTCGTGGGAGGGATGGCTGGTATCAGAATTGGTAAAAAGGTTGGAGGATGAAGGTATATTTGACCTCCCCCTCACAGGAATCAGCCTTTGGGCTAATGCTGCTGGTGATTCTTCCCCCTTGTGAAGTTAGAGGAGGTCAGACGCCCCACACCATGCCATTTTTAGAATAAAAATTTGTGGGATGCTGCTAAAGCAGTGCTTAGGGGGAAACTGATAGAACTGAACACCCATATTAGAAAAAAAGGAACATCTCAAATGCGTGACCTCAGCTTCCACCTTAAGAATCTTGAAACTGAAGAGCAAATTAATCCCAGAATAAGTAGAAGAAAGGAAATAATAAAGATCAGAGCACATATCAACAAAATAGAAAAACAGAGAATTAATGAAAACAAAAGTTAGTTCTTTGAGAAGATTAATAAAATTGATAAACCTCTAGCCAGACTGATCAAGAAAAAGAGAAGACATAAATTACCAATATTAGGAATGAGAGAGGTTATACCACCACAGATCTACAGATATTAAAAGGATAACAAAAAAGATTATGACAACTTTATACCAATAAATTTGAAAACTTAGGTGAAGTGGGCAAATTCCTTAAAAGATACAAACTACCAGAGTTCACTCAAGAAGAAATAGATAACCTGAATGGCTTTATAAGGAGTTTACTCAAGAAGAAATAGATAACCTGAATGGCTCTATAAACCCACTGCCGTCAAGTCTATTCTGACTCATAGTGACCCTATAGGACAGACTAGAACTGCCCCATAGGGTCTTCAAGGAGTGGCTGGTGGATTCAAACTGCTGACCTTTTGGTGAGCAGCTGTAGCTCTTAACCACTGTGCCACCAGGGCTCCAAATGGCTCTATAGCTAAGAAAGAAATTGAATTTGCAGTTAAAAATCCTCCCCGGAAGAAATGTCCAGGCACAGGTGGCTTCACTGGTGAATTCTTTTTTTTTTTAATTGTTGTAGTTTAAGAGGAAGTTTACAATTCAAGTGAGTTTCTCATACATTCACAGGTGAATTCTAACAAAAATTTAAGGAATAAATAACACCAACTCTATACAAACTCTTTCAGAAAATGGAAAGGAGGGAACACTACCCAACTGCTTCTATAAGGCCAGCCTTACCGTGGTATCAAAACCAGACAATATAAGAAAAGAAAACCACAAACCGATATCCTTCATGAACACAGAACAAAATCTTAGCAGATCAAATCCAATAATATAAAAGGATAACACACCATGACCAAGCAGGGCTCACCCAGGGATGCAAGGTTGGTTTCACATTATGAAAATCAACATAAATGATCAAGGCAAATCATGTCACTAAGAAGCACTCAAGAAAAAAGGGCATGTTTGGTAAGTGCTAGGACATATATAATGTTGCAACAATCAAAAAATAAATGGGAGTATATATACATATATGTGTGTATATATGTGTACATATATACATGTATCTATATGTCTATGTATATGCATGTATGTGTATACAAATATATTCATATGTATAATAAACCACATGGGAGCAGAGTTACAGGTACTTCTTAGACATAAACACCTCGTGGGATTGGATTTCTTGGTTTGAAGCCCTGAGACCATGGTCTTGTGGGTCAACTCATCAATTGGCATAATACAGTTCATAAAGTTTATGGTCTATACCATAGTCTGTTGAGTAGCATCTAGGGTCTTAAAAGCTTGTGAGGGGCCATCTAAGATACAACCATCAGTCTCTTCTCGTCAGGAGCAAAAGAGAAGGAAACCAAACATTCACAGAAGAAACTAGTCTACAAAACTAACAATATACACGAACCATGGCCTCATCTACCCTGAGACCAGAACTAGATGGTGCCCGGCTAACACTACATCGTTCTGATCAGGGCCACAATAGATGGATCCTCACTAAAGGGGAGAAAAATGTGAAACAGAACTCAAATTCTTAAAAAGTCCAGACTTACTGGACAGATTGAGACTAGAGGATGCACCAAGACTATCGCCCTGAGATACTCCATAAAGCTTGAACCAAAACTATGCCCTGAGGTCACCTTTTAGCTAAGTAACAGTCTGGCTTATAAAATAAAGAAGAGTACCCGCGAGTACTACGTATCTTTAAAATATCACCTATATGAGACCCAATGGTCGACAATTTCTCTAAAGCAAGGATGAAAGGGTAAGCGCACAGGGAAACCAGATTACTGGAAACGAAACATCCAGAATGGAATTAAAGAGAATGTTGACACATTTTGAAAAATGTGACCAATGTCTCTGAACAATTTGTGTAGTAATTGTTAAATGGGATCCTAATTTGCTGTGTAAACTTTTACCGAAAACACAGTGAAATATTAGTTAAAAAAAAAGTAAAACCAATTTTGAAAATTGATATAATTTAATATATTAACAAACTAAAAAGAAAAACCGTATGATCATTTGAATGGCTGCAGAAAAGCATTTGACAAAATTCAACATCTATTCCTAATAAAAACTCTCAGAAAACTAGGAATAGAAGGGAGCTTCTTCAACCTGACAAGGAACATCTATGAAAACCCCAGAGCTTACATCGCACTTAACGGAGAAAGAATGGGTGCTTCCCCCCTAAGATCAAGAACAAGACAGTAATTCCCACTCTCCTCACTTCTTTTAACATTTTACTGGAGGTTCTAGCCAGTGCAGTCAGACAACAGAAAGAAAGAAAAGGCTTCCAGATTGGAGAGGAAGAAAGAAAACTGTCTTTGTTCACAGATGACATGATCGTCCAGGCAGAAAATTTGACAGAATCTACAAAAAAGTTACTAATATTAATAAGCGAGTTTAGCAAGGCTGCAGGATACAAGATCCATACAGAAAAATCAGTTGTGTTTTTATATACTAGCAACAAGTGACAGGACACCAAAACGCAAAACAAAACAAAAATTAAAAAAACCCAACAGTGACAGTGAGAACTGCAAACTGAAGAATACATCTGACAAAAGATTTTTCTCCCCAAATATAGATTCCACACAATCCCAATCAAAATCCCAGTAGGTTCGTTTGTAGAATATGTCCAATGAAAATCAAAGATATAAAACTACATAGAAAGGTGGTATGATTTTCACTTAAGATTGGGAATAGAAAAAGTCTTGGAAGAAACGCACTAAAATCGTTGGTAGGGGCTGTGTTTAGATTAGGGGCTTTAGAGAAATGTTTATTTCTATTTTCACCTCTTCCCAAATATCTTTAAGTAGATACAAATTAACTTGATAAAAATGAGCATTTTTTTAAGTTGGCTTCCAAATGACAAAACCGCGTGAAAGATATTTCCTCACGCAAATCATACAACACAGAAGCTGCCATCAGCATATTTCTCAAAGTCTAATACACCACAAATAAAATAGCAGGGTAGAGCTTAACTACTTTCAGAAATGACCCACTGCTGAAGTTTCAGAAGTGGGAAGCAGAAAAATAAACTTACCGATAACCTCAGCACACCAAAATTGGCAAAATCATAAATGAGGATCTGGTAGAAGAGTTCCTCACTGCAAAGAAAAATGAAGCAACTTTAAGGAAGAGCCAAACTCATGCCTGAGAGCCAAGCAGTGGGGAAAAGTGGGAGAAGTAAGCAAGCCTGCAACACGGGCGGGACAGAGGGGCTCCGCCTCGCTGGGGGACCCGGTCAACCGGCTAACAAGGTCTTCCACCTTTCAAAGCGCTGGCGGTTCCCTGTGTCTGTTCCAGCCAGGGCTCTGGACCAAGCTCTGGCTTGCTTTCAGCCTGGCTCTGTCCCTACCGTCTGGTGCTGTGAAGGGGTTTGACATCTTGTAGTGAAATGTAAGGAGTTTTGTTTGCTTACTTTCCCCTCCACTTAAAAGAATCCTATAGATCACTTTTTTTTTTTTAAATTGTAGTTCAGGTGAAGGTTTACAGAACAAATAGCTTCTCATGAAACAGTAGTACACATATTGTTTTATGACACTGGTTAACAACCCCACGACATGTCAACCCCTCTACCTTCTCAACCTTTTTTTTTTTTTTGGTGAAAACAGACATAGCCAAAGACACAACATTTCAAAAATTTCTACATGCACAGTTCAGTGACATCGACTACGCTCTTCCAATTGTGCTGCTATTCTCACTTTAGATGAAGGTTTACAGAATAAAATAGTTTCTCATTAAACAGTTAGTACACATGTTGCCCTATGACAATGGTTAACAACCTCACAACACATCAACACTGTCCTTACTCAACCTTGGGTTCCCTATCACCAGCTTTCCTGTCCCCTTCTGCCTTCTAGTCCTTGTCCCTGGACTGCTGTGCCTCATTAGTCCCGTTTTGTTTTATGGGGCTGTCCATTCCCTGGCTGAACGGTGAACCTCGGAAGTGAGTGTGTCTGGGGGCCATACTCTCAGGGTTTCTCCAGTCTCCTTTAGGCCAGTAAATTTGGTCTTTTTTTTGTGAGTTAGAATTATGCTCTACATCCTTCTCCAGCTCTGTCCAGAACCCTCTGTTGTGATCCTGGTCAGAGCAGTCAGTGGTGGTAGCCAGGCACCATCTAGCTGTACTGGACTCAGTCCGGTGGAGGCCTTTGTAGCTGTGGTCCATTAGTCCTTTGGACTAATCTTTTCCTTGTATCCTGTTCTCTGCATTCTCCCTTGCTCCCGAAGGGATGAGACCAGTGGAGTATCTTAGATGGCTGCTTACAGGCTTTTAAGACCCCAGCCGCTACTCACCAAGGTAGAATGTAGAATATTGTCTTTATAAACTCTGTTAGATCACTTTTTTCTAAAGACTCCTATAGATCACTTTTTTCTAAAGATTCCTATAGATCACTTTTGTCTAAAGACTCCTATAGATCGCTTTTGTGTAAAGAATCCTATAGATCACTTTTGTATAACTCATCATTAACAAAAAACAACTGTCAAGTATATATCAACTTATAGAAGAGAGAAGTGAAATAAACGCCCCATTTATGTAGTACTTTTTAGTTCTTAGGGTCGCTATGCATCGGAATTGATTCGAGGACGACGGGTTGGTTTTTTAGTTCTTAAAGCGATTTGAACCACGTAGGTCTTGCTTAAAAGACTTCACTGTCGGTGGAAACAGACAAAGCACCTGCTATGCCTGCATCCAGGGGCCTGCTTGCTTCTGTGTCCACTCTGCTCTTTTGTATCTCAAAAATGATTGGCTTAACTGGCCTCATTAACATAAACTGACATGGCCTCGTTAGCATAACAAAGAAAAACTCTATTCTCAAATAGGGTTATATCCCCAAGTATAGAGGTTAGTATTCCAACCCACATTTTGGGGGGCACAACGCAATCCCTAACACCATTCTCCGAGAGGCTCTGCCCTTCCACCCAGCCCGACTTACCTGAGCTTGGTGGTGTTGAGAAGGTACAGCTTCGTCTGGTACTGTGCCAGGGCCCACTGTGGGTTCACACAGCCCACGAAGGAGTGGTTGTGCAGCATTTCCCGGAGAGCTGGGGGAAAACCACAGGTAAGCCACGGGATCCCAGCAGTGGGATCCCAGCAGCACCTCCTCACAGCCCAAAACATCAAGCACCAGAACACAGCTAACACTCACGCAAAGATGCCTGGACTGACCTGGCTGCTGAAAACAAAGACAAATGCGGAATAAAACAATCTTTTAAAATGTAGTAAGGAACTGCCAAAAAACAAGGAATACTCAAAGACCGGACTCTAAGACAAAGCCGGAACCCAGAGATACTGAGAGCACTAAAACCAGCTCTGAACCAAGGACACCTGCAGCTCAGGAATCAGGACTCTGCTTTTCACAGGCATTGAGGGGGTGGAGAACAGCAGACACAAGCCTAGGGATGGGCTGAAACGGGGGGTCCGACAAGAGACCTCCTCCCCAGCACGTGAAGCTAAGACGCCAAGGGCCGCACGCTCAGTGTGAAGAAGGAAACACGCCAAAGTCTCCTAACGTAGCCCTCGCCCCCTCAATGGCCGAAAGAAAAGCTGCCTGCCTGCCTCGAGCGTAGCTGTTGGGAGAAAGAAAGAAAATATATCCTTGAGAATGCGTGTGCAATCAGAATTCACCCTAGGCAGAGAACGGAGGTTTCAGTTTAAAATGATACCAGGGCTGACCGTTACCCCAGGTCACTGGCAGAATCAAATGTAAGTTCTCTACCCAGTCTTCAAATAATTCCGCCCAAAAAGTTCCAAGAACTAGCAGTCAAAAAAGTATAAACCATACAAAGAAATAAAGCACCAAGAAGTAGAATCCAGAAGAAACCACAGAATCAGACTTGCAACGGTTTCAGAGATTGGAAATATCACGACATGAAATTAACTATGTCGAGTACGCTTAAGAGGTATTAAAACTGTAAGCGGAAAGAAACTATCGAAAATGATCCATCAGGTTTCCAAAAGAACCAAATAAAATTCCTAAAAATGAAAAATATGATAATTAAAATTAAAAATCAAGATAGATTTACCAATGGATTAGACAAGGATGGAGAGAGAGGTAATTAACTCGAAGGCAGGTCTAAAGAAGTGATCCAGAATGCAGCACAGAGAGACAACAAGACAGAAAATATAGAAGACAGCTTATGCCACATGGAATATAAACATATAACAAGCTCCAGAAGAGCTGGGGGGAGAGGGAGGAGAGGTATTTGGAGACTTTGAAGACATAGTACCTGAGAAGATCCCAGAAATGCTGAAAGACACGAAGACTCAGCTCTATGAAGCCCAACGATATCCACACCTGACAGATACCAAAGGACACCCAAAAAAAAAAAAAAAAAAGAGATCTTAAAAGCACTCAGAAAGGAAAAAAACATTATCCACGAAGTAATAAAAGACTGATAGCTGAATTTTCAACTGCAACAGTAGAAGCTAGAGAATGACGGAATAGCATCTCAGTGCGTCAAGAGAAAATAATGGCCAATCTAGAATTTTACAGCCAGTAAAAATCGTTTTAAAACAATAAGGGTGATTAGATAAAGCAGAACTGAGTTTGCCACCAAAGCTCTCCCTAAAGGATGTGCTTCAGGCAGACCACGAAAGATCGGAGACAAAGAATCACCAGCACGTAAGATGCAGGCATCAGGGACTGAACTGTGTCCTCCAAAACAGGTACTGAAGTCCTGGCCCCCGTTCTTGTGAACGTGATCTTCCCTGGAAAGAGGGTTTCTCTTCTGTCGTGTTAAAGAGGTCAGACCAGAGCAGGGTGGGTCCTAAGCCTAATCACTTCTGAGTCACAAGAAGAGCAGAACAGATACACACACACACACACACACACACACACACACACACACACGGGGAAGATGCCACGTGAAGACAGATGCACGGCAAGTGCATCTACAAACTGGAGAACCAAGGACTGCGGGCAGCTACTGGAAGCTGAGACAGACAAAGAAGGAGCTTCCCGATGAAGCCAGATCAGACGAGGCTGGAAGTGTAATAAAGACCCTGAATTTGCACTTCTAGTCTTCTGAACTGTGCGAAGACAAATTTCTGTCCTTTAAGGCCACCCACTTGTGGTGTTTTTGGTTACGACAGCACTAGGTAACTGACAGTGGGTGCTAGTAACGATGTAGTATATGGAACAATTAAGACATTCACATGGAAAATGTGAATCTCACACCACACACACAGTCAATTCCAGGCAGACTACAGACTTCAGTATAAGACTTTTGGAAGACAATGGAAGAGTATATCTTTATGAGTAGGGAAGATTTCTTAAATAAGGTAAAAAAGTAAACCTGTAAAGAACAGATTGATAAAATCTGTCTACATTAAACCTGAGAACTTCTGTTCATAAAACAAACGTTCATTCTAAAAAGTTACAAGTGCCGAGACCTAAACTGGGGGACGTGATCTTCAGGTAACTGTCTACTATCTAGGATATTTGAAGACTTCCTAAAATCAGTGAGAAAATACAAAAAATCCAACCAAAAAATGGGCAAAAAATTTGAAGAAGCACTTAACAGAAGAGGAAATATACATACTCAATTCTATTAGTAACCAAGAAGATGCAAATAAAACCCCAATCAGGTACTGTTCAATAATTACCAAATTGGTAAAACATCTTAAGTATCAAACTTCTGAAAGAAAGGGTAGCAGCTGGAACTCCTGCACGCTGTTGGTGGGAGTGTAAATGAATCCCACCCCGCTGGAAAGCAAGTGGTGCATCACGGCCAGCAGTAACTCTCCTAGGTATACCTGAGCAGTGCTTCCCAACCAAGGCACCAAGATGAATTCACTCGCGGCAGAGGGGACGGGGGAGAGAGCGGAACGGTGAGGAGGGGTGTGGGAAGAAGGCGGGGACGGAGGCCATCTGAGAACTCCAAACGTCCTTCAACAGTCCAATGAATGACTAAATGTGCTATATATTCATGATGTGGAACCTATTTGCAGCAAACGTAAACCTGCCTATACGCAATAAGATGGATGGATCTTAGGATATACAGACAGACAGACAGACAGATAATATACCTCATATATAAATAAAAGCAAATTGCAGAAAAATACGTATGCCCTGGTGGTGCAATGGTTAAGTGCTCGGATGCTAACTGAAAGGTCAGCGGTTCCAAACCACCAGCAGCTCTGAAGGAGAAAAGATGTGGCAGTCTGCTCCCGTAAAGATTACAGCCTTGGAAACCCTATGGGGCAGTTCTACTCTGTCCTATAGGGTCGCTATGAGTCGGGATCAACTCGACGGCTCACAACAACAACGTAATTCCATTTATGTAAAACTGGCAAAACTAAACAAATTAGGGATACAAATACAAGTGATAAAACTATAACAAAATAAAAGGAAATGATGACCTCAAAACTGAGGGGAGCAGTCACCTCTCGGGAGAAGGGCACAGGGTGGGATGCAGAGGACACACAGTGGGCTTCAGAGGTGACGGCAATGTTCAGTTTCTTTTTTTTTTGACATTCAGAACACTTATTTTGAAAACAGTTTTAGAGCATCTATTCACTCTTTTTTTTAAAAATTGTGCTTTAAGTGAAAGTTCACAATTCAAGTTAGTCTCTCATACAAAAATTGATACATACATTGTTATGTGACCCTACTTGCTCTCCCTATACTGTAACAGCACACTCCTCCTTTCCACCCCGGATTTCCCGTGTCCATTCAACCAGCTCCTGACCCTCTCTGCCTTCTCATCTCACCTCCGGCCAGGAGCTGCCCATTTAGTCTCATGTATCTACTTGAGCCAAGAAGCACACTCTTCACGAGTATCACTGTATGTTCCATGGTCCAGTCTAATCTTGGTCTGAAGAGTTTGCCTCAGGAATGGTTTTAGTTTTGGGCTAACAGAGAGTCCGGGGGCCATGTCTAATGTTCTGTTTCTTAAATAGGTAGTGCTCTTACAAATGTGCACTGGTTTTTTCTTTGGGTCCTGTGTATCTGTATACACCTGTGTAAATATTCTTTTTTATGAAAAGACTAAAAACGTCACATCAGAGAGGGCGTGGTCCGGGACAGCAACGAGCCGGCGCCCCACATTTGCACTGCCTTCTTCTTTTTGCTTTTCAGCTTGTGTACACGTCAATCCTCCAGTCGTTGCCTAAGTTCTGCCCCCCTCCCCCCAATAAAAAGACACGCGTTTTCTTCATTTTAAATAGTGGGAGCTCGGTGCGTCTACAGGCTGTTCTGCGTGGGCGGAGAACGATTCTTTTAAAAGCAAGAAAACATCAAATAATCTTGAAAAATGAGGCACTGGCAGAAAGATCCACTAAAAAAGTGTAAGATTCCTCTGTACCGATTTTCCACGGAATGCTCGGATGCATCCAGAGCTCCTGAAAGGCAGCCTTGCCAGCAAGGGGTGGGGAGGAGGGGTCCCACCAACCACAAGCCTTTCAGAGAAGACAGCCGTGGGGGGGCTCTGGGGGGCTTCATGGACCTCTTCAAGGTCTCCTGTCCAGATTAGGAGGAGGACCTATATTTCATTCCTACCCTAAGTGTCCCAACAACACCAGAAGTCTGGTGCAATTCCCCGCCATTCTGCTAACAGCAAAATCGGACAGAAATCCTTCTGTGCGTCAAAGCCAAACCACACATCTGAGGTCATGACCGAGACCTTGGGACGCAGCGTGTTTTTCTGAGAAGCGGCAAGCAGAGCTAGACCCAAAGGCAGGGCAACCGGCCCTCAGTTCTAACGTTCACGTGCAGACAAGCAGCCTCTGCACACGCCTTCTGCTGCCGCTGGAGGCGATCTGCATGTCCTTCCAACCCCCTCGCATGTCTCATCAGCCTTCCCTGGCTCCTCTGAACTGGGCTTCC